CTCGAGAGGGGGGCGCGGGGCAGCGCGGCAGCGGGGGACGGGGGCGCGGAGGTGCTCGGGTGCCTCGGGTGCGCCGGGGCCTAAACAAAAACACGTTGGGCGGTCTTCGGCTATCTTCTACCTCTGGGGGCCCACGCCAAGCCCTGGGGCTGTCAAGAAGCAGCGACGTTCGGATATCAAAAAACATGAGGTCGGGCGTCTGGGAACAAATCCATCGCACCCAGCGAGGCTCAAGATGATCTGATGACGCAATAACGGTCTGCTGGAACTTCGCCCCTTGGGGAGCTGGAGGCTCACTGCCCATGGATGGAACAGACGGAGAGGGAGGGCGGACAGAATCTGCGGGACGCCTGTGAAGGGGGAGGGGTGGAGCCGAAGTGGAAGGAGGAGCAGCGCAGCAGCAGCGGGAGCAGGAGCTGGAGCAGAGGACGCAGCAGCAGCACGCAGGGAGCAGGAGCAGGAGGGGACCAGGCGACTCGAAGACACCGAGGTCACCGTCAGTGCTGGCACGGCGGCAAGGCCTCCCCAAACCCCCCCTCCCCCCCCCCCCCTCCATGGCACGGGATCAAGGTGTATCGTGTCCGCCCTCCCCCCACACACTCTGGAAGGGACCTCCGCCGGCGTGCGGGGAGGCTAGCCTCTCCGTCAGGGCAGGGTGAGGCGCTTTCGGGCGCGCTGGCACTGCAGGGCGCGGAGGCTGTTGGATCGCCGCGTGGCGCTGCGTCAGTCAGGAGGGAGATGTGGAGGGTCACATCTCCCAAGGATACATCGTCGATCCTGAAACACACCCTCCTGTCCTATCCTCCCCTTCCGAGCCCATGATTGGATGTCTCCACACCGAAAAGCGCTTCATTGAAACACGAGCGCCACATGGGCCAATCGAGCGGGCCTCCCCGTCTAAGACTTGGAGGGGAGTTTCCCCTCACGATGACTGTAAATACTCGACATGTAAAGATGCACGTGCATCAACAGAGAGCAATTGACAACCGAGCACTACATGATGAAAACTATTCACCCCTAATCTAGGAGATGTTGAGACAATCAGCCCGTGTGCCCCAGAAAAACGACGTCTTGCAATATTTTCGGTGCAATCTATGTGGTGCAATCCACTCTGCTGAACTTGAAGTCGTCATCTCCACTGCTCACTCAAACATCCCACCCACCCACCCGCAACTTGGTTTGCAAAACCTCTTAAGACCGACTACGACGACACCGATGACAACGACTAGGACGACACCGACGACGTCTCCGACGACTTCGACGACGACAACGACGCCGACGACGACGAAGACGACGACGACGAAGCCAACGAAGACGACGACGAGGGAGGAGGAAGGACGACGACGGCGACAACGACGACAACGGCGACAACGACGAGGGAGGAGGGAGGACGGCGACGACGCGAACGACGAAAAAGGAGGAAGGACGGCGACGCCGACGACGACAACGACGAGGGAGGAGGGAAGACGAAGACGACAACGACGACGACGACGGCGACGAAATAGGACGGACGACGACGAGACGCCGACGACGGACGACGACGACGACGAGGGAGGAGGAGGAAGGACAACCACGGCGACAACGACGACGGAAACGTCCACGACGCCAAAGACGACGACGACGACGAACACGAGGAAAGACAGAGGACGACGTAGGCGACGACGACGACGACGCGGGAGGAGGGAGGACGGCGACGACAACGACGACGACGACGACGACGCAAGAGCGCGCGCGCACGCTTTTGTTGAACATCCGTGTTGCGAAACCTTGGGTTTTTGTAGGTTTTTTGGACGCACGATTTTGAAATCCTTTCGAAACCGATGGGTTTTGAAGGTTTTCGGCATACGCCCGCGACGACGCGCGCGTCTGCACTTCGTCCCATTTTTTGCAGAGGATTCTCGCGACGGCACACGCGCAAGGGCGTTCGACAGATTTCGACATGCGCGCGCGAAGCCCGTTTGGTAGCATTTTGTGAAAATCTGGAAAAACCTATGGTTTTCTTAAGATTTCGCAAGAGCTCGCGCGGAAGCTTTTTTAGCAAATCAGTGTTGCGAAACCTAGTGTTTTTGTATGTGTTTTGGAAACTCGATTGCGAAATCCTTCCGGCACCGAAGGTTTTTGAAGGATTTCGGCATGCGCGCGCGACGACGCGCGCGTGTGCACTTCGTCCCTTTTTGTTGCAAGGGATTCGCGAAAAAGTGCTATGTTAGAACAAAAAATGTCACCGCATAGTGTTTTTTACAAAGGAACCTCAGGGGGGGGGGAACCCGGCCTAGCTGGGATGGTATGATTTCATATTTAGGATGGCCGAGTGTGCAGAATATATATATATATATATATATGAAATCCTACAATCCCACGGGGAAGCGATAAGTCCAGGGGGGGTAGAGTCTATTCTCTTTTTAGAAAGGAGAACTGATTTTTACCTATGATTTGACACATCCCATGCTCTTGCAAACATCCCACCCACCCACCCGCAACTTGGTTTGCAAAACCTCTTAAGACCGTGACGGTAGGTACCACATGGCACTAGGCAGCGACACCGACGCCGAAGACGACGGCGACGTCGACGACGACGAAGCCGACGACGACGACTACGACGACACCGACGTCGTCTCCGACGACTTCAACGACGACGACAACGACGACGACGACGACGACGACACCGACGACGACGACGACGACGCCGACGCCGACGACGACGATGACGACGCCGACGACGACGACGACGCCGACGACGTCGACGACGCAGACGACGACGACGTCGACGACGGCGGCGACAACGACGACGCCGACGTCGACGACGACGAAGACGACGACGACGACGCCGACGCCGACGACGACGACGACGAAGACGAAGACGAAGTCGCCAACGAAGAGGACGACAAGGGAGGAGGGAGGACGACGACGGCGACAACGACGACAGCGACGACAACGACGAGGGAGGAGGGAGGACAGCGACGACGCGAACGACGAAAAAGGAGGAAGGACGGCGACGCCGACGACGACAACGACGAGGGAGGAGGAAGACGACGACGACGACAACGACGACGACGACGACGACAGCGACGAAATAGGACGGACGACGACGAGACGCCGACGACGGACGACGACGACGACGAGGGAGGAGGAGGAAGGACGACCACGGCGACAACGACGACGGAAACGACCACGACGCCGAAGAGGACGACGACGACGAACACGAGGAAAGACAGAGGACGACGTAGGCGACGACGACGACGACGACGACGCGGGAGGAGGGAAGACGGCGACGACGACGACGACGACGCACGAGCGCGCGCGCACGCTGTTGTTGAACATCCGTGTTGCGAAACCTTGGGTTTTTGTAGGTTTTTTGGACACACGATTTTGAAATCCTTCCGAAACCGATGGTTTTTGAGGGGTTTCGGCATACGCGCGCAACGACGCGCGCGTCTGCACTTCGTCCCATCTGTTGCAGAGGATTCTCACGACGGCACACGCGCAAGGGCGTTCGACAGATTCCGACATGCGCGCGCGAAGCCCGTTTGGTAGCATTTTGTGAAAATATTGAAAAAAAACCTATGGTTTTCTTGAGATTTCGCAAGAGCTCGCGCGTAAGCTGTTTTAGCAAATCAGTGATGCGAAACCATGTGTTTTCGTACGTTCTTTGGAAACTCGATTGCGAAATCCTTCCGACACCGAAGGTTCTTGAAGGATTTCGGGATGCGCGCGCGACGAAGCGCGCGTGTGCACTTCGTCCCATTGTTTGCAAGGGATTCGCGAAAAAAGCCTTATGTTAGAACTAAAGATGTCCCCGCGTATCGTTTTTAACACGGGAACCTCAGGGGGGTCGATCCCGGCCCCTCACGCAATGTGTAAATTCATAGTTAGGATGGACATGCGGTCAGAATCATACATGATTTACATACCCGAAAGGGGGGCGGGTAACGCCAGGGGGGAGAGGGTAGAGTCTATTGTCTTCTTAGAAAGAAGAATCAATGTAGTGCAATCTACGCGGTACACAGCAATGCAAATCAATGTAAAGCAATGCAAAGCAATGCAGTGTAAAGCAGTGCAACAAAAAACAATGCACACCAACGGAATGCCATGCAAAAAAATGCAAAGCAAATAAAAGTAACGCAGGCCTAGGCGGCGACTGGGCGGCGACGGTGACAAAACAGCCGCCAGACCGACGGGCAGGCCCAGAGCGACGGGGCGGCGACGGCGACCACATAGCCGCCAGACCGACGGGCAGGCCTAAAAAAGGACGGCGACGTGACGGCGACGGCGACCACATAGCCGCAAGACCGACGGGCAGACCAAGTTCCTTAGAAAGGAAAGCAGAACCCCTGAGTGCAAGCACTGTTTGGGGAGTGTGTACGGTTCGGCACATACGACTTGAAAGAAATCACCTTCCATGCACCTTGTAAGCTTCGGGCGTAAAAGGGATGATAATAGCAAGCGATGGCTCCAGCTTGAAAGTGATCTCCCTCCGTCCATGTACCTACGTTTAGTACAGCACGAATGTGCACAACGATGCAGCAAACATCACACGTTGAAAATGAGCTGCCCTCCGTCTCCGTAAAAGCTGGAGCCTGTTGAGACCAATATGCTCAGCGCGATGGCGAGAACCCACATCTTCAAAAAAGCCCGCCACCTTAAGAGGCCCAGGGAGGCTCCCAAGAAGCCTCCAAAAGGCTCCCTGGAAGCCTCCCAGGAAGCCTCCCAAGAGGCCTCCCAAGATTCCTCCCAAGAGGTTCCCACGAAGTGTCCTCCTCCTACTCCTCCTATTATTCCTCCTCCTCCTCCGCCTCCTCCTCCTCCTCCTCCTCCTCCTCCTCCCCCATCATCCTCATCCTCAGCCTCATCTTCATCCCCCTCCCATTCATCACCTGCCTCCCTCTCCTGATCCTCCCCTCCTCTTGCTCCCCCACGCGTTCCCCGCAGGCTTTCCAAACCGACTCGGGGAACAACTGGCCCGATAGCTTGGCCAAGCCCTAGTCACAACGTTCGGACAC